AGGGGCCACCACTGAGAAGGCCCTGTCTCTTGTTCTCACCAGTTGTGTCTGCGAAGGAGGAGGAAACGAGAGCTGGGCCTTCCCAGACGATCTTAATTTCTGAGATGGTTCAAAGGGGGAGATACATTCAGACAGGTAAGCTGGGCCGAAACTGCTTAGAGCTTTATACACTAAAGTCAGCACTTTGAATTGTGCTTGGAAGTAGACTGGCAGGCAGTGGAACTGGCATAACAGGGGAGTTATATGTTCCCTGTACATTGCTCCAGTCAGCAACCTGGCTGCAAACTTCAGAGTTCTCCTTGGGACTACTGATAACATTTTGGATACATAAGCAAAAGCATCCATATCTGAGTATGTACCAAAAGGGATATGAAAACAGCATGACCCAAAGATTTGACAGCCATCATTTCAATTAGCTATGCTGGGGGATTGTGCAAGGATATGTCTGCACTGTAGAATTAATGAAGTCTGGCAACATTTTAATTGCCATGTCTCTGACAAATAATGCTGGTGCTTCACCAGATGAAAACTGCCATGATTCCATAGCATTAAGCCATGGCAGTTAAATGGGTTTTTTTCGTGTGCGTGTGTGTCAGGAGCGACTTGAGAAACTACAAGTCGCTTCTACTGTGAGTGGATTGGCCACCTGCAAGGATGTTGCCCAGGGGATGCCTGGATGTTTGATATTTTACCATCCTGTGGGAGGCTTCTCTCATGTCCCCACATGGGAAGCTAGAGCTGACAGACATGAGCTCACCCTACTCCCAGATTTGAACTGCTTTCGGTCAGCATTCCTGCCAGCACATTAGCCCATTCCGCCACAGGGGTCTCTGGCAGTTAAAGCGATGTCAAACTATATTCATTCTGTGTTGATGGACCCAGTCAGGGACTGTGGAGAGCTTTGAAATCTGAAACAGAAGGACTGAGGGTTCAATACAAATGATCTAAATACAGAAGCTAACTTCTACATGGAACACTTTGAAAAACAAGCCCTGGAAACAGCAACAAAAAAGCCCACGATATGGTTCAGATATGTGGATGACACTTTCACCATTTGGAGCCATGGAGAAGAAGAACTCAACAGGTTCCTGGACCATCTTAACAGCATCCACCCAAACATCCAGTTCACCATGGAAAAAGAAAATGAAGGAAGACTGCCTTTTCTAGATATCCTAGTCATCCGCAAACCAGATCAACAATTGGGTCACACTGTCTACAGAAAACCCACACACAGAGATAGATATCTACATAAAAACTCCAACCATCACCCAAGTCAAAAAAGAATCACCATTAAAGCCTTGGCAGACCGTGCAAAAAGAATCTGCGAACCCCACCTCCTCCAAGATGAACTGAACCACCTCAACTGGGCTCTCCAGGCCAATGGATACTCCACCTCAGACATCAGAAGAGCTGCAAGACTAAGAACAAGCCACGAGAGTCAAGAGCAGAAGATCCATCCAGAGGAAAAGTGTTCTTGCCATACATCAAGGGAACCACTGACCGCATAGGGAAGCTGATGAGGAAACACAACATACAAACTATCTACAGACCCACTAAGAAAATCCAACAAATGCTACGTTCAGCAAAGGACAAGAGGGATCCTCTCACCTCTGCAGGAGTCTACCGTGTACCATGCAGCTGTGGACATGTCTACATAGGGACCACCAAACGCAGCATTGCCCAAACACGAATCAAGGAACATGAAAGGCACTGCAGACTACTTCAACCAGAGAAGTCAGCCATAGCAGAGCACCTGATGAACCACCTGGACACAGCATATTATTTGAGAACACAGAAATGCTGGACCACTCTCACAACCACCATGTCAGGCTACACAGAGAAGCCATTGAAATCCACAAGCATGTGGACAATTTCAACAGAAAGGAAGAGACCATGAAAATGAAAAAAATCTGGCTACCAGTATTAAAAAACTCTAAAATTATAACAGCTAAACAACAGAGAGGAAAAAACCAGGCACAGATTAACACCTCCCAGCAACAGATTTTCCCAGGCTCAGGCAGCCCTTCAAATGCTAATGAAGGTGATCAGCTAAACATTCACACCTAACTGCAGCAGGGAAGAGCTCCTTGCCCCACCCCAGCCATTCCACAGATATATAAACCCATTTTTCCTACTTCCAACAGACCTTCTCAACCTCTGAGGATGCTTGCCATAGATGCAGGCGAAACGTCAGGAGAAATGCCTCTGGAACATGGCTCTATAGCCCGAAAAAACCCACAAGAACTAGTATTTTCTGTTGGTCATGGGGGTTCTTTGTGGGAAGTTTGGCCCAATTCTATTCTTGGTGGGGTTCAGAATGCTCTTTGATTGTAAGTGAACTATACATCCCAGCAACTACAACTCCCAAATGTCAAGGTCTATTTTCCCCAACCCAGTGTTCACATTTAGGCATATTGAGAGTTTGTGCCAAGTTTGGTCCAGATCCATCATTTTTGAGTCCACAGTGCTCTCTGGAATGTAGGTGAACTACAACTCCAAAACTCAAGGTCAATGCCCACCAAACCTTCCAGTATTTTCCTGTTGGTCATGGGAGTTCTGTGTGCCAAGTTTGGTTCAATTCCATTGTTGGTGGAGTTCAGAATGCTCTTTGATTGCAGATTAACTATAAATCCCAGCAACAACAACTCCCAAATGACAAAATTAATCCCCCCCCCAACCCCACCAGTATTCAAATTTGGGTGTATTGGGTATTTGTTCCAAAGAATGAAAATACATCCTGCATATCAGATATTGACATTATGATTCATAACAGTAGCAAAATGACAGTTGTGAAGTATCAATGAAAATAATTTTATGGTTGGGGTCACCACAAGATGAGGAACTGCATTAAGCACATTAGGAAGAATGTATTGTCGGAGGCTTTCATCACTGGGTTGTTGCAGCTTTTTTCGGGCTATATGGCCATGTTCTAGAGGCATTCTCTACTGAGGTTTCACCTGCATTTATGGTAGGTGACTTCAGAGGTAGTGAGGTCTGTTGGAACTAGGAAAATTGGGTTTATATATCTGTGGAATGACTAGGGTGGGACAAAGAACTCTTGTCTGTTGGAGTGAGGTGTGAATGTTTCAACTGACCACCTTGGGATTTTGGCCTGCATCAAGAGGAACATAGTGTCTAGATCTAGGGAAGTCATGCTACCCCTCTATTGCGCTTTGGTTAGACCACACCTGGAATATTGTGTCCAATTCTGGGCACCACAATTCAAGAGAGATATTGACAAGCTGGAATGTGTCTAGAGGAGGGCGACTAAAATGATCAAGGGTCTGGAGAACAAGCCCTATGAGGAGCGGCTTAAGGAGCTGGGCATGTTTAGCCTGAAGAAGAGAAGGCTGAGAGGAGATATGATAGCCATGTATAAATATGTGAGAGAAGTCACAGGGAGGAGGGAGCAAGCTTGTTTTCTGCTTCCCTGGAGACTAGGACACGGAACAATGGCTTCAAACTACAAGAGAGGAGATTCCATCTGAACATGAGGAAGAACTTCCTGACTGTGAGAGCCATTCAGCAGTGGAACTCTCTGCCCCGGAATGTGGTGGAGGCTCCTTCTTTGGAAGCTTTTAAACAGAGGCTGGATGGCCATCTGTCAGGGGTGATTTGAATGCAATATTCCTGCTTCTTGGCAGGGGGTTGGACTGGATGGCCCATGAGGTCTTTTCCAACTCTTTGATTCTATGATGGCCTGGCATTTTTTTTGGTGTGGTTTGTTAGTACCTGGGGGAATCTTTTGTTGGGAGGTGATTAGCTGTCCCTGATTGTTTCCTCTCTGTTGTTTTGCTGTTCCAATTTTAGAGTTTTTAATACTGGTACATTAGGAAGGTTGAAAACCACTGCTCTAAAGGCACACCCACTGTGGAATTAGCTTCTCTGGCTCAATGCAATGGAATCATGGGAATTGTAGCTTTACAAAGTCGTAGCCCAGTGTTTCTCAACCTTCCTAATGCCGTGACCCCTTAATACAGTTCGTCATGTTGTAGTGACCCCCAACCATAACATTATTTTCATTGCTACTTCATAACTGTAATTTGCTACTGTTATGAATCGTCATGTAAATATCCAACATGAACAATGTATTTTCCTTCACTGAACCAAATTTGGCACAAATACTCGATATGTTCAAATTTGAATGCTGGTGGGGTTGGGGGGTGGTATTTTGACATTTGGGAGTTGTAATTGCAGGGATTTATAGTTAACCTACAATCAAAGAGCATTCTGAACTTCGCCAACAATGGAATTGAACCAAACTTGGCACACAGAACTCCCATGACCAACAGAAAATACTGGAAGGGTCTGTTGGGCACTGACCTTGAGTTTTGGAGTTGTAGTTCAATTACATTCAGAGAGCAATGTGCACTCAAACATTGATGGATCTGGACCAAAGCTGACATGAATACTCAATATGCCCAAATGTGAACATTGGTGGAGTTTGGGGGAAATAGACCTTGACATTTGGGAGTTGTAATTGGTGGGACTTACAGTTCACCTACAATCAAAGAACATTTGGAATCCCACGGACAAGAGAATTGGGCCACACTTCCCACACATGACCAACATAAAATACTGTGTTTTCTGATCGTCTTTGGTGACCCCTTTGACACCCCTTCGTGACCCCTGCAGGGGTCCCGACCCCCCGGTTGAGAAACACTGTCGTAGCCCATGAGTGCTGGTGCCTCACCCAACCTAGGAGTCCCATGATCCCATAGCACTGAGCCATAAGTGATGCCAAACGGCATGGATTCTGCAAAGTCTACAAGACGCAAACCATGCGCTCTTTCTTCCAAGTTTGCATCCCTCCAGCTTGTGGTGGGAAGAGTGGGAATCTATTGCCAGTAAGATGAAAAAATATATTCACTTTAACCAGCATCAGTGCGGCATTCATGCATTCATTCCGCAAAGAACAGAACTTGAAAAACCCCAACTTTTGGTTATGTTATGTTTGGTTTTGCGCCTGGGAGAGGAAGCGTTTGCTGAGCGAGACTTACCCAACGGGAGAGAAAGGCAGGCGAAGAGGGCGAGCCGAAGGGGCAGAAGCAGGGGCTTCATGGTGTCCTCCAGGAGAAGAAGGGCGCTCCCTTACAAGGCGATGGACTGAGCCCGAAGGCGGCTTCCCAAATCAGGAGGAGAAGGAGGGAAGGCAGGGAAGGAAGGAAGGGGAGAGGAGGCGCAACCCACGCGGCGGCGGCGGCGGAGGCAGCAGTGTTTCTCTTCCGTGCGTAAAGAGGCACGCTGAGAGCGAACCCGGGTTCTTTTCCCACGTGACGGAGAGAAAGAGGAAGGGAGGGCGAGGCCGGCCGGGGAGGAGAGGCCTCCCAGGACATGCCATTGGCCCTTTGTCTCTACCACGCTTTGCCTTTGTGTTAGGAGCATCTCCACCCACAACCCGAGTTTCCTGTGTTTTAGCAAAACAGCAAAGAAGGCAAAGAAACAGGAAGAAAACAGAAGAGAGATATCTGGCTACCAGTATTAAAAAACTCTAAAATTACAATTTCCTCTCTGCAAAACAACAGAGAGGAAACAACCAGGCACATCTTAACACCTCTCAGCAAGAGAATTGCCCAGGCTCAGGCAGGCCTTCAAATGCTAATGAAGGTGGTCAGTTGAAACATTCACACCTAGCTCCAGCAGAGAAAAGCTCTTTGCCCCACCCCAGCCATTCCACAGACATATAAACCCATTGTCCTAATTCCAACAGACCTCACTACCTCTGAGGATGCTTGCCATAGATGCAGGCGAAACGTCAGGAGAAATGCCTCTAGAACATGGCTCTATTGCCTGAAAAAACCCACAAGAACCTAGTTATTCCAGCCATGAAAGCCTTCGACAATACAGAAGAGAGATAGATATAGAGTGAACAGTCTCTACCAGCGGTTCTCAACCTGCCTAATGCAGTGGGTTGTTGGAGGTTTTCCGGGCTATATAGCCATGTTCTAGAAGTATTCTCTCCTGACGTTTCGCCTGCATCTATGGCAAGCATCCTCAAGAGTTGTGAGGTGAGGATGCTTGCCATAGATGCAGGCAAAACATCAGGAGAGAATGCTTCTAGAGCATGGCCATATAGCCCGAAAAACCAACAACAACCCAGTGATTCTTCAAACTACAAGAGAGGAGATTCCATCTGAACACGAGGAAGAACTTCCTGACTGTGAGAGCCGTTCAGCAGTGGAACTCTCTGCCCCGGAGTGTGGTGGAGGCTCCTTCTTTGGAAGCTTTTAAACAAAGGCTGGATGGCCATCTGTCAGGGGTGATTTGAATGCAATATTCCTGCTTCTTGGCAGGGGGTTGGACTGGATGGCCCTCTCTTCCAACTCTTTGATTCTATGATTCCAGACATGAAAGCCTTCCACAATACTTCCTAATGCAGTTCCTCATGTGGTGACCCCCAGCCATAACATTATTTTCGTTACTACTTCATAACTGTAATTTTGCTACTGTTATGAATAGTAATGTGAATATCTGATATGCAGGTAGTATCTTCATTCACTTGACCAAATTTGGCACAAATACCCGATACGTCCAAATTTGAATACTGGTGGGGTTGGAGGGAGGATTGATTTTGTCATTTGGGAGTTGTAGTTGCTGGGATTTACAGTTCATTTACAATCAAAGAGCATTCTGAATTCCACCAACAATGGAATTGAACCAAACTGGGCACACAGAATTCCCATGACCAACAGAAAATACTGGAAGGGTTTAGCGGGCATTGACTTTGAGTTTTGGAGTTGTAGTTCACCTACATCCAAAGAGCACTGGACTCAAATGATGATTCTGGACCAAACTTGGCACAAATACTCAATATGCCCAAATGTGAATGCTGGTGGAGTTTAGGGAAAATAGACCTTGACATTTGGGAGTTGTAGTTGCT